CTACAAACAATAACTACACCATCCAAAAAAAACAGCTTATACAAATACCGTCTCGCCTGGTCGTGGTACCACCCTCACTGCCCAACCACCGCACACCCCCCATGCGAGAGGCACAAACACTCACACCTCTACTAACAATGTCGTCTTCCGCAGATACGCTACCACAGCTTACCAACAGCTACACTGACTACGCACACACACTCTCTCCTCCAATAACAACAACTCGCCTAAACTCAAACACTTCAACAAGACACGTTCCAAACCACACCCGCGCTGAACATACTCGACACCTCGCTAAAAAACAGTCAATAGAAAACCCTACAGTGTCACCAACTGCTCTACACTACGCACCTCTACACTCACTCATTCACTCCTCATCTACTCTCTATCCCAACTTGGCAACGCCCACCCCCCACCCTCCTCTCCCACCACTCCGCCTTCTCTCCACTCCTCTCACAGATAGTTGAAACTCGCCTATTTGGACCATGTGCAGAAAATGACCATATATCTAGTTTTCATATATATATATATATATATATATATATATATATATATATGCATTTATTGTTTTTCTGCCTTAACTTTTATTTAATTTTTTCTCCTGTTTTCTTTATTTCTTTGTACTGTAGTGGCAATTTCTTATATTACTTTATATGGTAAAACCAAATGATGATATTATGCTTAGAAACTGTTTGGTCAACTCGACCTTTTGTACCACACGGTAGCTTCCCGCCAAGGTCGTACCTGGAGGATGTGACTCTCCCTATGAGAGCATTGTAAGATAACAGTTTTCTAAGGAAAGTCTTATCTCTTTTACTTCCTGCACAGCAACAGTCCTCTATAAAACACACTCACACATTATACCCTGTGTGCACTCCTGCAGACTACTCTGTACTCTGTGAGACATGTACCTTTGAAGCGCTTCAAATAAAGAACCAACGAAAGACAACGCTGCTTGCTTTCACCAGTTTATTATTGGTTACTCTCATTGTACATCTTTACAGTATTGACGAGTTTAAAATATCCACGACAGTACTCCTTCATTTCTATACGTTTTTGACGCAATAATGCCGCTGTATTAGGATGATGCACGGGAGTGCTACTTTCCACAAGCTATGCTTCAGCCCTCCCGCTGCTACTAATTTTGTTCATCTTTGTGTGTATGAATTAAACTTTTTTTGTTTTTCGGATGAATAAAAAAAATATATACTTTCAGTTTGGGGGCCCCCTAGTGGCCGCGGGGGCCCTATGCCCCGCATAGTCCGCCTATAGGAAGAAACGGCCCTGGTGTGAGGGGATGGTAAAGTGAATGCAATAACAAATAAACACATAGCTAGCAGTGAGAACTGAATCATCAATGCAAAAGTGTGTTTGCTGTTGTTGACTGCAGTTGTAGAATGTAACTCAGAACATTGACACATCTAAACTGTACCAATTATAAGGTACTTATCTTTTCCTGGAAATTATTGTACATTTTAACATGAATAGGCCTACATTTACTTGTGATACTTAAAGTAGGCTACATTTTGCTCATTTGCATCCTACTTTTACCTTAGTAAAGTTTAAAATGTGGGTTTTTATTTTTGTGAGTATTTTTACAGTGCAGTAGGACACTTTACTAAAAGTTTTGAATACTTAGTACGTAGTGCATGTGTAAGGTGATGTAAGTCAGTATGAGGAAATGATTCCTAGCTTAAGCTAATGTTTGTTTATTTGTTTATCGCTAACGTCACCTGTGCTGTCCAGCGGCTGCACCTGCCTCGATGACCCCGGCGCTGAGCTGGCTCTCATGGACGCAGACATCCTGAAATCACCGTGGAGATGTTACAAAGAGGTTTTTGACAAAGCCATGAAGAAGAAAACGTAGCATTATTTCCAAAAAAGGGAGGAAATCGTCCTACTCTCTCCCCTGAGGTTCAACTTCCTGGTCGCGTTGCCATGGAAACGCCCACCGCTATCCGGGGGACACAGAAGCTCGTTCATATTTAATTTATGTTTAGGTGAAAAACATTGTTTTATAACACGTTCTTTAATGGAAAATCGAATTAAATCACCAACATGAACAATTTTGAAAAGCGTATTCCTTTGCAATACGTGTGAAGTGGTTACGGTAGCACTCAACTGTCAGGGAATTTATTGAATGTTGTGTAGTGTGTTTTTTCTGTGTAGCACTTTCTAGTAGACGGTCCCTGCGCACTCTTCTCTCCTCTGGCTGCAGATAGACACCAATATAAGTGGTCCAGCTCGGAAGACGTCGTGTGTAGACTTATTTTAACGGAAATTAGTTTCTAGCTCCTTGTCTACCTTACAGTTGTTAATAGCCTTGGTTTGTGTTTTAACAACGACTGGTTTATGAGTTATTCATCTGTCAATTTCAAACTTTACCAAACTCCGCCTCTGCACGGGAGATGGGGAGTGCAGCCTGTTGAAGACCACGCTGTGCTCTTTTTTTATTATCTCGTGTGATGGAGGCTCTTGATGGTGCTCCATCAAGAAGAGAAGTGTGCATCAAGTGGATCTGGAGATGACAACAGATGAGCCGCAGGCAGCAGGCAGAAGCAGGGGCTCTGTGAATGACAAGGATTCTACAACGATCAGGATGATTTCCTGTCACGATTATGGATTTAATTCGCTATCATAATTTGGAATTACTTGCATGCACAATTGTAATCTCTTCACTGTTTGTGATAGATGGTGAGTAAATGTTTAATCTCCCTTGAGTTAATGTAGGCTACCATAAAAACGTGTGAGGTGATGTTGTAGCTGTATAACAGTCATAAAAGTAAACTGATAATCAGTGCTTTTTTTTCATTTTCTTTTTTGGCATTTCAACACATGCAAAACTAGATTGTTGTTGCATACTATCATTATGAATTTTCTCATGCATGCAAGTTACAACACTAGTTCAAATATTAGTCAAATATTATAACTTTCTTGCTAAAGTTTCATTTTAACGGTGTACAGTAGAGATTGAAACCAGCACTGTGATTTTAATTTCAGTCGAGTGATTGGCTTGTATTTTAACCAGTCTATGCTTGGAATATCAATTAAGACTGTGAGGGTTTACATCATTGCATAGTGATGTCTACATTTTGTAAGGACAGAAAGGAATCTAACAATGGGGGGCAGCATAGTGACCCTAGGGTGTGTTTGAGGATTGGGGGGTTGATGGGTATGTCGATAAGTGATGGGTCTATGGCACTATATGTGTCTTCGGCTTTACAAAACATCCAACAATAACATGTCTTCTTATCACCTCTGAAACAAACAGACAGCTACACAGAAAAATGCATCTGTCAGGTGCCTCACATGTGCCATTTGAGGGCCTCCAGATAGGACCAAACAAAGCCCTGTTGAGCTCATTAGCATATGAAAAAGCCTTACATGCTGTGGGAGGGGATGTGTGGTTGGCTGGAGTTCCATCTTGGCCTATCTCTCCTCTGGACTCTGCCCCAGGGCAATACTGAAAGACCAGCGGATTCAGTAAAGAGCAAATCCTACACCACCTGTTGTGGTTTCCTTTAAAATAATACATAGTCATTGCCAATTTCTTTCACCATGGTTTTAAGTCATGTGTTTTTGTAGAACATAATGTATGCACTGCTGGAGCATGCCTTCTGAATTCACTTGGCTGATCCTGGTTGTAATGAAAGATCATTTTGGCATATGGTCAGAACATAAACACAACCCATGATCTGCATCCCACCCCAGGACCTCGGACTATACCTCCAAGACTAAGTCTAGACATGTATTATAATCTGCTCGGGGAGAACCCTGCCAACTGGCTGGGGAATTGATTGACCTTAACGAAAGACAAAAGAAAAATTGGTGCCCGAGTTGGTGCAGATGGAGCACAAAGTGTAATTGCCCTCTTCTCTTATAGTCTGCACTCTGCCTGATTGTGCTCTTGAGGCATGATTACTGTGTGTGATTATCATCTGTGAGGATTTTATTAGAATATCTCTGCTCATATCAGTGTTGCTACATTTATTTTTCATGATTATGACGAATCATGCTTGCACCCCTCATGCAAAACACACTTTTTCTTTGAGAAATGTGGTACAGTCTGATTATTAATAGAGGCAACACTTGTTAAGCTGATTTGAAGTGTCTTTGTAGCGGCATCATGCCCCTGTGGCCCCTCATGCATGTTCCATGTATTATGAGGACCGTTGCCTCTGGAGCCAGTTGTTCTGACTGGAGTAAGGCAATATTGAGATTCCTTTTGGTGCCTATTTGTCTTTGAAGTTTTCTTGCATATGTAAGAGCTGTGCAAGTCTCAATGTAGACATTAAATATAAGCAATGCATCATCAGAGATAAGAGGTTTTAAGAAGTGTGGTCACCCGATCACAGTGGTACTGTATGTTTAACCATTTAAAACATTATCTTAACTTTATAAAATCATGATGTTCCAAATCCATTGAAATCAAGTTATCTCAAAAATGTTCAATCAAATATATTGTGTTTTTTTTTAAAGATTTGACAAGTTAGCTGTCAAGATTACAGAAAATACTATCCTTATACTACCGCACATTCCACTTTGTGAGTTGTTGCTCCCATAACTTCCAAGCTAAATATGACTTTCCTAACACAGTTCTAGACATATTAAGGTTTGAAAATATACATATCTATTTACAACATTATCTAATCTATAAAGATATAATGATTGCTTTTCATTGTTGTTACTGGGAAGGATCAAGTGTTGATCCTCTTATTAGTATGAACAGCATGTATTCAATGAATTGACACCTAAACCTCTGTCAGCGTGGCATTGATGTCTTGCTGATTAAAGCACACCGTAAAGTGTCGCCTTAGATCTTCTGTTCATGCAATTGCCATGGTAACAGATTGAACACTGAAGCCAAACAGTTAAATAAGTTACCATGGCAGCCAGCCATAACGCCTTGAGAGGCCCTTAAGTTTAAAGTCCTTGTACTGACAGCTGCTACATTGTTTCTCATCTAATTTAAACAGAAAATAAATGAGCTTTATTCCAGAAATGATTAAACTAATATAGCAATCAGGATTCTGTTAATTTGCAGTATCAAGATTAAAGAAATTATATTCTGTGATATCAATATTTTTTTATTTGATCTCTTTATAGGTGCATCTCCTGACAGGCCGCGTTCACCAGTGGACCAGTGCTCACCAAACCCGTGCCAGAACAGTGCGATATGCAGGATCCGCAGAGACGACTACTCGTGCTTCTGTGTGCCGGGGTTTCAAGGTGCACACTGTCAGATCGACGTGAATGAGTGTGCCTCACAGCCCTGCAGGAACGGAGCTACCTGCGTGGACCGAGTGGGCCGCTTCTCCTGTCTGTGTTCTCCTGGGTTCACTGGTGAGGGAAAAAATACATTCTGGGTCTCCCAGGAGCAACAATGAGACCAGCTAATTTAAATCCTAACATAACACATAGCTTTTATGATAGAAGATATGTGTGGGATTGTTTTTTAATGTGTGTAATGTTGTATAGGTAACCCATGTGGTCACAGCTAGCATGGCTATAGATTCTTGTTGTCATAGAAAACTGGCCAAGTAGAAGTTCAATACGATTATTTATAGTCATCCGGAGTAGTTAATGTTTACTTTGAAATCTTCCCTACACTGATGTCTTGATTTAATTTTAAAATCTAAAAATAAATCTACCCAATGAAGAATAGATGAACTAAACCTCATTGGATCAGTCTGCTGAAAGGAGCTTGAAAGCATTATATCAAAGCAGAATAATTTCAGTATTCTAGTGTCACCCATTTCATTGTTCGGATGGTTTACTTAATGCATGCAGCCTAAACTGTCTCATTATTTGTATTTAATTCTGTTAAACTTTAATTCCAATATTTCTCCCCCTAGTTGCATAAAGATGATAGGATATCTTTATTGCAGAGATACATTTGTAGATACATTTGTATTGTGCACAATATATTGT